AGAGAACAACCCAATGACCTTGCTAAGTTCGTGTTTTCCCATCCAGCTGTCTTGCTCGCCACAAACCTTTCACATTTCAGGTATGTACAATTGGATAGTTTGCAAGATCGTAATGAGAAGCTTTTTTATCGAGTGTTATGTGACAATATCAAGGAATTGATGCCCATAGTTTATACTCCAACTGTTGGACAAGCTTGCCAAAAATTCGGCTTCATCTATCGAAATCCAAAGTTTGTTCAACTATACATTTTATTTAGTGCAATAATAATAATCAATTTTTTGCAACTTATCTCGCATTTTAGAGGTTTGTACATAACTATCAACGACAATTCCATTAGTAAAATTTACCAAATACTTGCGAACTGGCCAGCTACCAATATTCAGGTGAGCTCTTAGAATAAGGAAATATAGTATTACAGTTTACGCAAGAGATATTGTTTGGATGTTGAAAGGTCTTCACAAATTGAGTCTAAGATGTAGAAATTTCTGGAAACGTTTCACTAGCAATTTTTCAAAGTTCTTTCAAGTACTAGAGTTCCTCGGTTCATCAAAAGTGGGTAAACAAATGAGTAAACAATTACACAAATAATTTTTTTAAAAACATATGGATTAGAAAAACCCAATGAAATTGGACTAAACTGTCACGTATATAAATGTAAATGAAAAGACGGACTAAGATGGCAGAAACTTTGTTCCCATAAGGTGAAAGAAACTTAGAAAAGTGTTATTCTAATGGTTTTAGCGAATCGAAGGTGGTCAATTATTTAGGCGATCGTAGTGACGGATGGTGAACGAATTCTTGGACTTGGGGATCTGGGAGCCTATGGTATTGGTATACCTGTTGGTAAGCTAGCCCTCTACGTAGCACTGGCAGGACTGCACCCTGAGTGGTGCCTTCCTGTACTCATAGATGTCGGCACTGATAATCAAGCAAGTGTTGGGCTTATTATTTGGGATTCAATTATCCTAATCTTTATATCCAGAATTTACTGAACGATCCTTTCTATACCGGTTTACGAAGGCCACGTGTTCGTGGACCAGAATACGATAGTTTGCTTGATAACTTTATGAAAGCATGCACAAAGAGGTAATTGGCTCTCACAATGTAGCTTTAAGTAAAAGATTTGATACTCGATTTCCAGGTTTGGTCGCGACACCCTAATTCAATTCGAGGATTTTGGTAATCAAAATGCATATCGCCTTCTGGACAGATTTAAGAATGATTACTGCATGTTCAACGATGATATACAAGGTATCTTTGAATCAAGCGCTTTTTTGATTTAGAGTCGATTGCCTGATTTGTTTACAGGTACTGCTTCCGTTGTTGTAGCCGGTTTGTTAGCAACTACAAGAATTACTAAGAAAAAGTTATCACAGCAGAAGCTCGTGTTCTTTGGAGCAGGAGGAGTTAGTTGATTTTACAGAATTTTGGTACTTAGTTTTAAAAAAAAACGCTGGGAAACCATGAATGTTTATTGAATGTTTTCTGCTTTCATTTACAAGCTGTTCTCTGTATTTTTAAGCAGTTAGTAGCTATTTTCTCTTTTGGTTCATTGCTTGACTTGGGAAAAATATAAAGCGACAATGTTGATGTCTAGGCAAATTGTGATCAAAGTAATTTTTGCGAGTTCAGGCTGCAACTGGAGTAGCTGAAATGTGCGTGCGGCAGATGGTCGATGAGGGCTTATCCGAACAAGAAGCATGCGCCAACATCCACATGATAGACATTGATGGTTTGATAACTAAGAGCCGATCTGCTACATTATCGGACCGTCATCTCCGATTTGCTAAGGTAAACAAGTAAGTGGGAAGTTCTACTAGAAACATATTGCCACTTCAGGATCTACCGGAAACAAAGAGTCTCCTAGAAGTAGTCAGAACAGTCAGACCTGGTGCTATCATTGGTACGATTAATGTATGGATAGTTTAATAATAGCTATCACTACTTTTACTACTACTTTAAAGGAGCATCGACTGTGGCTGGTGCATTCACTGAGGAGGTAATCACTGAAATGGCAAAGATCAACTCAAGGCCTATCATTTTTGCGCTTTCAAATCCAACGAGCAAAGCTGAATGTACAGCTGAAGCTGCATTCCGACTAACAAATGTGAGTTTTTAAGAGAAAGCCCTCCTCTAGACAAGAAAAGAAGAAAAAATTGATTGTTGCATCAAGATCAGACCATGTTTATTATTAATTAATTCTTTAATATACCTCTAGAGTACTTTCCGCTTGCATAACACATTTATGTGATTCATTTCATTAAGGTGCAGAAGTTCAAGTTTGTTTCTTGCAACGAACAATACATAATGAAACCTAAAATAAACAAGAATTCCTGAAAGATGAAAAAGAAAAAAATGTAGCAAACATAGAGTAGAGAGAGAAATATATCAACAGAGAGAAATCAGGCAGAGTCAACCCTTTGAAGCTGGATGCCGAAAAAGGTGTGAATAATTTGAATGTTTCAGAAGAGTATTGTGACCATGGGCTTTATTGAAAACCGAATTTGCTAGGTTGATAAAAATTCCATCAGCTGTTTCACACGTAACTTTTTTTTCGGTACTGATTTTAAGGACAATAACTTGCTAGCTGTACTTGTAATTTTACTATAATTAAGGTATATTAAGAATGCTTCTTTTGCAAGTCGGAAGCAACCGCTCGCAGAGCTCATCACTCCAGTTTTGAAATCGCTGTTTTGAAGTATTATTTTTCATCTGAATGAAGCGTCAATCGCCTTGGTAATTAAGCAGAGCTGAACCTGCCAACAGTCCCTTACCAAGCTTTTTCTAGCTATTAGTTGTCTTATATCTCCTAAAAGTGCTGTCAAAGAACTGACGAAAATCTTTTTTTGGTTTTTTTTCATTCTTTGAACATCTATTGACTTGTGTAGCCAGTTGAGTTCGAAAATGGTCATTGTCTTGCTTCAAATTGCCACTTCAAACCTAGTCAATGCTTCCAGTAGACCACCAATCAGAACCAGCCTAACCCTTGTGTCTATATCCAAGAGAGTTGCATCAACTATTGACGTGCGTTGGGTAATTGAACCTAACGCATTACTGACATGACAATTTAAAGTTCATCGCATTGAGATTTCGTGGCCATCCATAAATGTCTCGATGTGAACTTGGCGCCAGAAATTTCTGATGATAGGTGGATTCATGCAATACTCACATGTTGTAGGGTGTAGGTAATCCTCAAGGATTTGTGCAAATCGAAGCAAAAAAAGGAGAATTTGGCAGAAAAATGGCTAAACTTTCTAGGCAGCCTAATCGAAAATAGCTCATATCTTAAAAGTGTTTTAAGGAGTTCTGTGGTGAAAATTTGAAATAAACGTTTTTGAATCAACAGTTCCGTTCACTATGTGACACGGTACGTAACGTAGGCCACTTAATCGAGAGTAAATACTGAGTTTATTAACTTATTGATCTTCCGAAGCTTTCAATCTATCTCGCTAAAAGTTGGTATATTTGAGTAAGTCAATGCTGATTTTGTATAAGAACCACTGGAAAATTCTAATAATTTGCCGTTTTATTGATTTGTTTTACTTTACTCTGGGCTGGGAGTTTGTGGCAGAAGTAAATTGATTGCTTCTCGTGAATTGACAATTGTTGAGAGTAGTACCATTCAACTGTATCGATTTATTGATTTTTTGCCTACAATCAAGCTATTGGAAAGAGTTGTCGTATGAGAATTATTTTACACTCACAATGGAGAAACTTTCAGAAGTAATCGAACATTGCTATCAAACTACTATTCGTTTCAAGCTGCTGAAAAGCATAAGGGAACGTCAGCATGTTTACTGCAAAATTTTGGCCCTTTCTATGTTATTTCCTACAGTTGTTTGTGGTTTTTGACTTAGTTGCGATATTCGCGCAAACAGTGGAATAAATGGCTACTTATAAACACCCATTTGGATGCAGCAGTATGCCAGCTAGTATTATCTTATGTAATACTTTACGTTCATCGCAGTACTCATGTCGTGAAAAGCGTTTTGTGACAGCATAACGCCCTAAAGATAGTGCTCAGTCAAAATCTAGTCTTTTGAGTTTTCATTAAATC